ACACCGTTATCCTATGGCTGAACTGTTCTGCTCAACCCGTACACTAAGGCACCTCGCAGGGACTGACTTAATTAAATCCAGAGTGGGACCTTTTGTCAGTGAATCATCCGTTCCCCTGTGAAGCAGAGCGTGCTCCTTGTCCGTACTGCACAATTAGTAACACACACACAAGCCGACTTTGGTATGCTTCAGGACAAAAGCAGAATAATAATGGTTATAGATATAGAAAGATATATATAATTTAAAATTTTATTTTAAAACTTTGAGCATACACTTCTCCAGCATCCTCCCCTTTTGTTCATTGCACTGAAAAGTTCCAAAAAACACAAAATATATCCCTTTACTAAACATTTTTTGTTCTTAGGTTACAAAAAGATGAACATTTCACAGTCACAAAGCAGAAGTACATTGGTCCAAAACATTTTCCTCCAGCAGGTCCTCCGTTCTTCAGGACATACAAAGCCTACACAGTCGTACCAACTGCAAAACAAGACAGCTCGTCCAGTGAAGAACAGAAAAAGGTGGCAGCTATTAAAAAACAAAGAATCCCAAACCAAAATACGACACCTATGAAAGAACACCATCAGCAATGGTTAAAAAAAAAAAAAGAGACAGAAGAACGAGAGTGGAGGTGGGCAAGGGCATCCTCCTTGCAGTACATCACGGGTAGAAACAGGGCAGCAGAATTACCTGCTTGGTCACTCTCGCTGCGGTCGCCGTGTCACTATATCGTCATCTAAGACGCAGGGGAGAAAACTATTTACACACCAAAAATATCAGGGAGGAACAACAATTCCACACAGTTTGCAGTTCACGTCTGACACAAAAAATGTTGAAAGTGTTTGCACATAAAATGTAAAATGAAAGCAAAACACCGAGGCCGGAAGGAACACGGCAGGTTTGCTTGTAGTGTTCTTTAAAAACCTCGCAAAAGTTCAAAGCCAAAATCTGCCCCAACATCAAGTGCAGGTCTTCAAAATTATCCCAGAGGCACAGAGCCGACTCTACCTCACGGACCTCGCTTGTCACAACTTAACAGGGCAATTTGTTGCCAACAGCAACCCCGGCCACTCTTCCTTCAGCTTGTTAGCCCTGCTGGGCTTTAGCATTTGCTAAAAAAGTGCCCTCTCTCCCCAGCGTGAGGCCACTGAACGGCAGCCCTCTCAGACCACATGCTCTCGTGTTCACGAAGGAAGCATCACCGCGTTAACGTACCAAAAGACGGCTGTGTGCTCGCTTAAGGTGCCAGTGAAATCTCCAACCATCTTCATCAAATTATAGAAGATTTTAGCCTGTAGCGGAAGAGGAAAATGTTGGAAATGGCTGCACTACCTTCTGCAACGACACTCACAGGAGACTGGTAGAAGCTTCTTGGTTCTGAGTTTCTAGAAACTGGACTGGATGAGGCAGCAGAAGACAGTCACACTGCGCTGTCAGCTGCCCAGAACTCCACAGCACGCTATTTCCTTTCCTTGTCTAAGGAAGGACAAGAACTGGCTGGACTTCCTGAGCAATCTCCAGGTACAGCAAGGATGGAGCACTGTGCAAGAGCAACATGAGTCCAGATGTCACTCAGGACTGAGATTCCTTGATACTGAGCCTTCAGAAATTTTGGATGCTAAGGGAACTTCACTGGAAAAAACCAAGCCCATGTAGCAATGCTGGCATCAGGCAGTAACTGAGATGCTCAGGATCTAAAGCTTGGAGTTGGTGCCTAACTTGCTCCAGTTTAAGGAGGTGAGCTGGGAGCTTCACTGAGCCCTAGAGCAGCTGCAAGTCTGCACATGGCAACATCCACCCCGTGCCTATGAAAAATGGTTCTGTGCCCCAAGGGATCCTCCCTGCCATGAGTAGTTTCAAATGTTCTGATTCCCAAAATAATTCAACCTATAAAGGGAATTGGAAGTGCTTTCAGTTATTCTTGCTTCTCATGCAACACCTCCCCAAGAAGAGACTCCTGCCTGCCGTTTACACGAGGCTTTGGCACACGTGTATTTACGCCGTGCCTTGAAGCCGCGCGCAGACCGCGGCGCAGGCATGCCAGAAGCTTCTAGTGAAGCAGACAGAAGCAAAGGCCTGAGCACTAGCACAGCGTATCAGAGACGTGCCAGAGATGCGCTAGGGAGGCAGGCAGGTAGTTGTATAACACACACTTTGTAAAAAAGCAAAGCAAAAAGCATCACAGGGTAGTTTCAGTCACATACATCTGAGTAGGAAGCTTTTCATTATCCTTTAAAATTCTTAGTATTAACTAATTGATGCTAATTGATATTAATTGCTGCTACTGTACTTGCAGTCTTTGCAGAAGAGGGTGCAATAGCTGACACAACTCCACCTGGGCACAGCCGCGGCAGAGAAGCGGGCTGACCCACAGCAACTCCTCAGCTGACCAGCAAAGATAGCGGAGGCTGATCACGAAGCTGTACCAGTGCCCATGAGATCCTGCTCGGAGAAGTCACCAACCAGTGTGCTCCCACCAAGTCACGCCCTCTGCCAACCTCTCTCCCCAGGGGTATGTTTAAAAACCCCTCTGAACAAGGAGGTGCATCTTCCATTGCCTTGACATTACACTTTTGAATTTTGGCGAACACTACGCTAGAAATTCATTTCCACTACACTTTACTCGGTGGTTTTGGAATGACTGGGGTGTGTGTTGACACCATGTGACCAAATAATGAAGACTAACAACGCAGGGCACAGAAATATTTGACTCAGGGTTGTAGCTGGTAGCACCAACCTCTTTGCTCTTCGGACGACTCCGCCAGAACTGGCAGCATTAGTTTCTTTGTGAAAGAGGATCTGAATTGCTAGAGGACTGCGCAACTGCATTTGCGAAGTGACAACAGGAGTTACACAGGGCATGAAAAGCATGTTTACAAGTTTATTAGGCAAAAAAAAAAAAAAAAAGTGCAAGAGAAGATCTCTTGCTTGAACTTTAAAACATGAGGGGCCACGTGAAAAATATGCCAGACTCCAAACCTCTCTCTTCACCTAGCTGCAGACAGAAAAAGAGGTAAAGGGGGGGGGAAGGAAAAAAAAAAAAAAAAGGGAAGAATAGACAAAGCATGACAACACATAATCAGACACGCCGTTGATTTATGCTGAAGCTTTAGAATATAAAACATCCATGTTCTGCACAGCTTTATCACATGCAGGCACTGGGGAATGCACGGAACAGTTCTTGGGCTAAAATCACGCAGTTGGCCGCATGGTTGAGCCGTTACACGCTCTGTGTTGCGTCCTCTCCACCTGAGACTCCTACTGGGTCGAGAGACTGAGAGCAGGGGTGGAATCCACTGAGAAACAGTCTCGGTGGCGAAATCCACTGAGACTGTTGCACACGTACTTCTGGACGAGTAAAGCACCTGGGTGGCTACACCGCGCACGTGCCGCGTGGTGTATGCACAGCACATCCTAAATTACAGAACTGGTGAGCGCCAGACCATGCCGGTTCAGGAGAAAGGCTGCAAAGGGCACAGCATCCTCCTCCTTGCAAAGGACACAACACTTGTGAGCTGCCTAGTCTGTGCCCTACAATGATGTCAGCCCCCCTCTCTCTTTTGGCTGTCCGAGGAGCACAAGCCAGATCAGCAGCCCCAGGAAAATGTGGTCTGGGGGAAATCGGGTTGAATGTGGCTCCTCAGCCAATTCACCTGCCTATACAGTACAGCCTCCCGATCGTGTTTCTCCTTCTGTTCCTGCCAGTGAAGTAGTTCCTGCCTGCCTGAAGAACAGGCAGATGGGTTAAGCTGCAGATTTGCTCACTTGCTTCCCTCTTGGACTCTTGCTTTCCCTCCGATAATGTTTTACTCACATTTTCTTTATTTAAATTGATGCATCACTGTTAACGAAAAAGCTGCTGGAGATAGCCAAGCGCTTCTACCACAGTGGTCTTTTGATCCTTCACTACAGCCCTTGATACCAAGAGGACCGAATTATAAACTGTCACTTTCTGATCACCAAGTCAAACAGGCAAAGGTATACTGAAGGATCGCTGCCTGGGTATCCAAATCGGTAATGAGAACAATACCACCGCCTCAAGTAGGAATCCAACTAAAAATACATTCAGGAGCCCAAATAAATTTACTGAATCCCAACTGATGCAAAAACTGTATGGTCAGGGATCCTTTCAACAGGATAAAGCAGGCAGAACCATCCAATGACTGAAAACCTGTGATCCCAAAGAAACCATGGCCTCCAGGTAAAGATCACATAAGGCTGCGTTTGCGAGCTCTCTATAATCATGGGATACACACCACAGGAAATCTTGACAACTCACTCCTCACACCAGAATAAATCTTGCCATACAGGACCATGACCTATTTCTCCTGGGCCGTTTCTGCAGGTGGCTCTTTGAGCTGCAGTGAACAGGCCTAGTCACACTGAAAACAATTTTGTTTTTTCCTACTAAAATACAGAAGCATCGTCTACTGAAGAAGAGACAGGAGAGGAGGGTGGGGGTTTGCAGGATTACCTATGGACAACTCCAAACTTGTGTAAGTCATAAATGCAACTTTTTGAAAGAAGAACACTCTTGACTCTCGTATATGTATCTATAGGCATTTTTAAATGAGATGTGACTCAAGTCACCTGCTGAGTATTTGGGGGTAGATTTCAGGAGCCTCCTTGGCTTCTGATACCTACTTCTACTTTCACAACTGAAATGGCTCTTCCCAGCCACATGGTAAACTGAGGAAAAAAAACAATTCCCTACCTGGAGGGATGACAGAACCCATAATACACTAGCAGCATTTAAATCCCATTCCTGTTAAGCACCAAAACCATTTCTATAGGGAAATTGTAATCTTAAAGGTTATCTTTAATCATATACAGTATATGTGCAGAGCCCTACCTTTCGGGCAGAAGAGTAACCCTCCAGCATTAGGTTTAAATAGATTACATCAACTGGAAGTGTCCTTGTCACATCACCAAAAACATATTGTCTCTTACAGGCCCTTCCCAAAGAGATTCCCATCCTATAACCACTTGCAATACTCCTTTCACGACTGTTTGTTCCCGTGTATTAAAGGGATGACATAGACAGAGATGTCGTCTCCTGAGCCCAGCCTGTCGTTGGATATTCGCCAGCCCCGGTCCTTCAGCACTCCCCGGGCTCGCATCACCAGGTCCTGTGCCGCCAGCGTGTACCTGTGGAAAAGGCAGAACACAGCCAGGGAGTGCTCCATCTTCCTGAGGGAAGTGGGTTTCTCAGCCTGCCAGATTTACTGTTATGAGCTACCAGGACAAGCTTCCCCACGTTTTCAAAGCAGGCGGGAGAAACGCAAACCACGGCACCCCCACAAAGCAACATCTTCCACTTCGGTTCCTCCACCAGAACCTGAACTTATCTGACCCGCACCGACCAATCAGGATGTCACCCATCGTTTTGGGTGCCCGGCTTGACAAGTTCTCAGATAGATTCTGAAACACTTGCCTTAACAAATCTGCTTTCTAGGAGCAGTCTGAAAAAAACAAGGATCCAAAATAACACTACACCCCTGTGGACTGAAACATCTGAAGGTAAATACGGATCGACTGTTTCGTTTCAGAGACAAACGATAGCAAAGGGTGATTTGAAAGTAATAAAGCAGTAAAAATAAAATCCAAATTACACTTTAGATGATTTAGACTAACTTGTCTGTTTTCTTTGACTCTCAGAATGATTTTTAAACCCCTTTCATTCTGAAACTGGAAGAAGGAAACTTACAGTTAAATACAGCCAGATTAACAGGGGTCCACAGTCCTTTCACACTTCTGAGCTCAATGAAAACTGTGTGAATGTAAGTTGTCAAGAGCTTAATTTAGTGAAAAACCAAGTCTCACATTGTTCCAAAACTCCCAGCCTGTGCTGAGCTGAGCAGCATTGGATTTATGGGAGGTGTTTTCTATCCTGAAAAAAATAACGCGTGCTGCTCTGGGGCAGAAGGGTGTCAAAGTCCAAGAGGTGGTGCATGACGGTTCTCCCTTACCGCTTTACCTGCGGCTACTAGATCAACACATCTGTGCACTCACAAGTTTCCTCTGAAAGAAATGTCATTATGGGTGAACAGCTACTGTCATGTGTTTTTCTTCATCAGTCCAACACCTGGCTGAGATGTTTTGAATTTGATTGGGTGGAGGCAAGCTTTTTTATGATTTGATAATTAAAAATTAATCAAGCAGTTAAAAAACTGGCAAGAAAAACAAACAGTTCAATGCCGTGCCAGTCTGTGTTTCATCTGAAGCATAAATATCAAGCTCCAAGATGATGCAGGGCTCTATGAAGCCAAACGCACGGGCTACCAGAAGCAAAGGACATCTCTCCAGTTTCCAGAAACCAAGAAGGACAAGAAGGTTTGCATTTCAAGACCCCCTTTTCTAGGGAGGATCCTTGGCCAGAAATGATCTGGCCCGAGCCCATCTGAGGAACAGGAAAGAACAGTATCTCCATTGATCAGAAGCAGGGTGTGTGGGGAAACACATTCACCGAGTATCCAAGACTGTTCTAACCCCAGAAATTTTCACCAGAGCATGCATTATTAAATGGTAACTTCTATTAGTAGAGTCCTTATTCACTCTCTGGGGTTAAAAGAAGGGAAAAAACCCAATTATGTTCCGTTTCTACAATTTGGGTGCCTTAAACTCAAGTAACTCCTCTGAACCAGCAACAGATTTATTTGCTCTACTAGAAAGATTTCTTTAATGCAAACAAACCAAAACTTGACTACCCAGAAAGCCTGATGTCACACCCAAGTGATGTGGTACAGCAGCAATGCGCCCCCCACTCCTAATGGTACTGAGTGATAAAGCTTCCAGCCCTCCCTAGTTCTGACAGAAGATTTCCTTTACGCGACAAGAGAAGGGCCCAAGGCGTGAGCTCCGACAGGCACATGCACGTTGTCCGCAGGTACCGACGGCCTCAAAGTGGAACAGCAGGATGTCAGGAGCAGCACTGCCCCTACTGTCCTAAAGCAACATGAAACTGTATTTTCTAAGGGGACAAAACCCAAACGTACATACTTGCATCTCCCCAGCTCCTCAAATCAGATGCAGGGCTGAGGAACAAAAGGGCTCCACATGGCAAGTGAGAAACTGGAACATTTATTCACAGCATGTCTGATGCTGAGTGAATTTTAGCTAGAACATCTTTTCCAAGGATTTCTCAGCTATTATCAGAATTTAAGAGAAGAAAACACCCATCATTCTGGGAGAAAACTTTGCCTTTCTCCTTTTTCTAATTAACAAGGGCTCCCCACACCTAAAGAGTACAAAGGAATGAGTATTGCTCTTGATTGTGTAAAGCTTTTGCTGCTTAATGTTTGGAGAGGGCAAGATTAAGAGAAAAAAAAGGAATTTTAATAAACCAGAAATTCGCTGGTAGAGAGACTGTGAAATACACAAGAAAACCAGCACATCGAAGCAAAGGAAAAGGAACAGGTGAAGGCAGCAGCCAAGTAACGTATTCCACTCCTTGTGCAGAGCTGAATTGAAGCGATGCTGTTCAACTCGGCAGCAGAGGAGATAGGGTGAGTCTCTCGTACCTGGAGATGAATAGCAGCAGCAGTCCATTACCGAATGCTTTATTCTCCGGCGCTGTGAACTTGGGATTCAGCTGTCAACACAGCATTAGAGAACTGCTGAAGTAGTTTTAAAGTATCCACTTCCTCCTAATGAACAGCCTCGCTGGAATACAACTTTTATGTTTCAAGAATAAATATATATGTTCTTTTTCTCCTTCTGCTGAAGCCTTCAGTATTGATCAGTGAAAGTACTGCAGGAGAAATGGTGACAGTGGGGGAAAAGTGCTGCTGCCTGAGCAGCTTCTTATCTTCTCACACCTAGCAGAGGTAGAGCAACTCCCCAGCATCCTCATAAATCTCTAGGTAGCATGAGAGAGGGAGGGAACGAGAAAGGACAGGAGGGAGGACAAAAAATAAAAGATCCCCAAGGTCAGTGGGTAAACGTGCATAAGTGCAGCTGAAGGAAATGGGCAAGAGTCGTGCTTCTCTATCTTCATACCTCTTCAGAGAGATGATGTATGGAAAGCAGCAGTGTGTCACCTCCTCCTGCTCTTCACTCAGGGTCCCCTTCAGCCTTTCGTCTGCCACAACACCCTAAGAAACGAGCTGGCTAAGAAATCCAGCTTCACCCCAGCCTCTTCACTTCATCGCAGCCCTCACAGAGGAACTCTTCTCTAACAATGTCTGTGCCCATCACTCGCTGCCCAAATCCTCTGAGGCTGTGTCTGCATGTCTGGGTGAAGACAGACCTAAGGACTTGGCTCTCCCTGCACTTGGAGATGCCCAGGCACACGCTGTGTTTGACAGGATTCAAAGATGTTATGCTGTGGGTAACAAACACTCCCAGTTCTGACAGTAAGTATCAGCAGGAGAGAGTCCCAAGAGTGTGGCCAAGGGCTGTAAGCTCTTACTCATCAGCCTATAAAATGACTTCTAATTCAAATGGGAGGGATATTGTTCCCTCAAAGAGACAATTATGTAACATACTCTGCAGTTCTAAAGTCTTCCTCCCTAGCTTTTTGGTTTCTAGAAAAAGCTGCTGTCAGGGAATAAGTAGGCTACTGGGTCAGGCTCCACAGAGTCTGCTCCACAGGTAGGTTCTCCAGAAGACCTCGGCATTACCAAACCCAGGGGGCAAGTCTTATGTTCTGACAAGTCTTCTGCATCCCCGGAGACTGCACATTTCCAGCTGATCACCTCACCATGTCACTACACCCGTCACAGGACCAGACATTTCCTTTAAACATAGCACTGGTAATAACGGCAAACAAGCTTCTCCTGTCACTGACTAGCAAGAGGAATGAACGCAGCTCCACAGCCTGGCTGTTATGCTATTGTAAGTTCATTAGTTATACCTCATTTGGACCACTGTGAAGTAATTACGTAAAACCTCTCACACAGTACTTTAAGCCCTTTGAATATTATTTACAACCAAGCAGCAAGAGCAATTCCACAAAGGTAATTTTCATAAATATCATTGTAAACTATATGAGGGACTGCTCTAATTACCTTCTGCAAACTGGCATGAGAAATATCTTGCCACCACTATTTGTACACCTCTAAATGACCTGGCACAAAGTTACTTAAAAGAACAAATTAATTTTCAATTCAGATGTCCATTCATAGACCAGTAGGTCAAACACTAATAAACGTGTTTGTTCTAACCCGTAATACAGCAGGTCAACTCTGGAGTGTGTTGTACTCACGCTGGCACAAACATGGACTAATCCCCCACAACTACTGGGGTTAGACCAGCACAAACAAATCTAAATGAAACAAAGAAAACCTCTTTTTTTTCCTTCAATGTCTCTGATTTCTACAAGTGTTCTATAATGGATGAAAAGTTTCTCACCTAATGAGTCAAAAGATTGAGCAAAGAATTCCCATTCCTACTGCAGCAATCGTGGTGGCCACCCCCAGCTTTGGAAAGACCAAAAGAAACAAGACAGACACAACACACCCAGACTGTATTCACAAAGGACAGGACCAGCAAGGATGGTAGGAAGAGCCAGCCTTTCCCAGTTACTAGGTGAGAACGGAGACAGAGTGGGGCAGAGGCATTTAATTTTTAATAAATTTCATTTCACCAGGTACCTTTGCAAGAGGAGACTCAGGGGGCAGAAATGAGAGCTAAAGCTCCCTAGCACCTCTGAACAGTGCTAGGGAATAACGGGAAGTAGACTGGGAGGGTCATCTCCTCCTACCTCAAATTAATGGCACATCTGCATAGCACAGCATCAGATGCCCTGGAAGGGCCCCTGGCTAATCCTGCCTGAAGTCCTTCCAGACAGAGGACAGAGACACTTCCATGTCTCGCTGAAGAAGAGACAGCCCCAACTGTCATTCACACCACATCTCTTCAGCACGAGGAGGTGGGGAAGGTCGAAATACTGCAGGTGCAGCTTCGTGCTGTACATTCATTTGCTTGAAGATGAGTGCTTACAGCAGAATGCTGTTTTACATTCCATGCTTGTAAGCGTCGGGACAAGAAAACACTGCTGGCGAGTTACTCTGGAGCTGCTCCCACTTGAAAACCCAAGTGGCTGTCAGGGTGTCCAAGTTACCTTCCTTGGCTGCTGATGGAGAACAGGGCTGACCCTGTGATGATGACCACTCAGAAACACGAGGAACACCAAGCATCTTGAGATGGGTACCCCCAAGCCCTCAGCAGCTGCCACATCTAAACAACTGTAACTTGTGCTCTCGCACCATCCCGTGTGTTTTCACTTGGATGGCGAGATATCCCAGAGCTTATTTTTGAAGCTCCGCTTCCTGCAGGCCAGCTGGGGTTGCATAAAAGCTCTTTTCCCCACTCTCAGCCCAGGGCAAGGGCAGAAGGCAGTGATAGCCAGGCCTGAATTCAGGAGCAACACACATTTCCCTTCTTGAACAGTCCCTAGGGAAGGATAAAGCTCTTTCCACTTTCACAGTCCTCCCTTTTACAAGTGAGAGTCTGCTGATCTCTAGCGTATTGTTTTAATTCATGGTGACACTGAGTCTGCAGCAGACAGACCGATGGATTCACTCAAGACAGCGCTTCAGCCAGTTGTTTAGGAACTTGACAGTATCTTTTAAAGAGACCAACTGACCAAGTAAGAGGTAATAAAGACAGGAAAATGAAGATGACAAGGCAGGGTGAAATTGTGAAATGAAACAGAATCTAACTGAATGAAATAGAGTCAGACTTTCCACCTATTTCCACCTATTCTTTCACCACATCTGTACTGCAGCTGGTAGCACTGAGCATCCCTCAAAGTCACAGTATGACCAGGAATGAGTGGGAACCACGCTGTGCACTGTTTATACATATATACAGTGAGAGAGGGAGATATATGCTGATGATGTCCTGGGGAGAAAGAGTCTTTAACGTTAAGGATCTATCCAGAGGAGAGTTAAATGGAAAACTACTAGAGCCAGAGACCTGTTGCCATGTTCTTCTAAGACTTCAGCCTCCTATTGTTTCCACAGAACCTAGTAAACAAAATGGGTCCCATGCCAATATACTACAACCCCACAACTGTTCCTTTGAAGGTAGGCAATTCTGAGTTATAACAGATTAAAAAAAAACACCCCAAAACCCCACACATTTACTGTAGAGGCTCCACCAGCTTATAAAAACACCTTCTTTTAAGTGCTGCATCTTTACTCAATGTTATTTCTATCGTACTTTCTACAAAAACTACATTACCAAAAAGCACTCTTACTTCCCCGCAGAAGCCAGAAGGTCAGGGATGAGCACAAACCTGTGGGGATCATCAGGGTCACAGTTTGGTAGAAAGTTAGTGACAGCTTCTGCCACTTCTTCGTTTAACAGCACATCCCAGAGTCCATCAGTAGCTAAGATCAGAACATCATCTGGCCCGTGCTCGTACTGCAGGAGGTCATAGACTCTCACCTAAAACAAAACAAGCCCAAGAGACATTCATGAAAGAGGAGACTGTCAGACCTGTTTGTGCAACGCTGCTGAGTTTGGCTGCGAGTTAGCAGGTTTGGCGAGGACACTGGAATACCTCTCCCGCAGCATTGCTGGGGTCTATCTCCAATTTAGCCCTTGAGCTGGCAACTCTCCCCAGCCCATTTCGGGGCGGGTCAAGTGCCAGGATGGATGCAGATGTTCCTGAGCACGGCTGTAAAGCACCAGGCTGCCTGCTGCCAGCAGCACTTGAAGCTTCCCCCACCCAGCCGCCTGGTTCAGCGTGTAAGGCAGGACCAGTCATATGGAAGCTGAATAATTTATTTGATAAATTTTTGATAATTTTCTAATAAAATATTCACAAATAATTGTTTTCACTATTTGTCCAAATCCATTTAACTCTGCCAGATAAATTGCACACATTCGGAAATGCCGGTGTTGCAGAAGGCATCGCATTTGTTTTTCTAGACCTGAGGCAGCTGCTGCCCTCAAGAATTACAGCTGAGCAAGGGAGTGGTTCGACAACTCGGAGAAACTGTTTACCTGCTCAGGTATGTTTATCGTAAGGAATTAGGGTAAGTGGGTAGAGACCAATTTGAGATCTGCACAAGCGTGAGCCCCCAAGCTTATCCACACTTATTAAAATGCCCACTGGCTTCCCCTCATCAGCCTGCAGCTGGTCAGGCTGACCACTGCTGCTGGCACCTCCCTAACACCCTGCCTTCACAGCGACTCCCACCCTCCTCTTCCCGATGAGGGGGAGGAAGCTGGGAGCAGAGGGGGCAGACAGCAGAGGGGGCAGCAGGCCATCAGCTGAGCCAGAGCACAAGGAAGGGTCACGGTAAAAGTTTTACATGGAGCCTTTAGTTGGGTGTAACTCTCCCCCCAGCACACGCTGCATTCCAGCTGACAACCCGCCTGCAGCTCCCAGGCTGCGGTGGGGAGCAGTCTCACGGAGCACTTTAATTACCACAGCAACCACCACGGTTAGAAAGAAGCGTGACAACCTTGGCAAGGCAGACAGGAGGAAACGATCATCCGTACTGAAGCTGGGAAACGGTGCACCTCGTCACGCACCCTGCTCCAGCCTTCGGCTCCACTACCAGCAGCAGCAGTCGGGAAATTTGTCGGGACAAGCACTTGGCATAACTAGAAAATACGAGCTGTTCTATTCTCCCTCCTGGTGCATTCTCCCTTTAGGGGCCATGGAACAGGCAATGCACATAAAATGCCTGGACCTTTTAATGTAATTATGATTTTATAGGACTGCAACCAGTACTGGGGGAGGGGGGGAAGTAAAAATCACCTGGACCTGACTGCTAATCCGTACTTGTTCGCCTTTCACTCAGAAGCACACGAAGGTCATTTGTAAAGCGTAACCTTCACTTCATTATCTAAGGTAGCAGCTGAATAAGGACTTTGGAGAGGATTAAAGTCAAGGCAAGATATTCTCTTCATTAAAGCACATCTCCTTATTCAGACCGAGTGGGAATACTGTTACAGAATAGATCCCTGTATGTAGCACAGCTCTTCTCCCAAGCCCATTGCACAGAAACCAGTACTTGCAATAGTCCCCATCCCCCCAAATTTAGTTCGGCCTATAACAGCCCAGGGTTTCACCTCAGAAATCACTGGGGGGTGGGGGTTAAGTTGGCCAACACAGCCATCAATAAGCAGCACGTGTTCTGGGCAGATCTCCTGGGTACAGGCAAATACCTGAGAGGGCGTCAGGGTTAATGCTCAGGATGAGCTCAGCAGCAAGCCCGTGATAGGAATATCCAAGCTTCACACACCAGCACCGGCAAAACCACATCTACCAAGGCTCTCCCATGCGGACAAAGCACATATCACACCACAAGAGCCTTTTCGCAGCGTTGGTGAGGGAGAAGGCAGGAAACCACGACCACGCATCGCTGATCTCAATCCTCCTGAAATGAACAACCTTGTCTGACTGGGGAGCAGCGCTGGGGCAGGCAAGAAACTTGTCAAAGCTACCTGCAGCCAATCCACAGGTCAAAAAGTCCAAATCTTTGGTGTAGCACAATGCCAGAGCAACACCAAGAACAGATCATTTTACCACAAACATGTTTATATCTTGGGGGGAAAAAAAAAGAGCAATCACCGATTTTATGGGTAATCTGGGAGCAAGGTAGTTTCTTCCTCAAAGTAAAAGCTTTGTGAACTAAGCACCTCCGGAAAAGACGTGCCATTGAGAAGGAAGCAGATGTCAGGAGAGGTGAACGGATGGGCAGTAGCATGAGCAGTAAGGGATGCTGGGCTGGTATGCAGGCTAAGGAAAAGAGAGCATGAAGGTTACAGGAGGCAAGCTTGGCGCTACTTGTACACAGGGACCAGGGTAGCACATCCAACAAATGAAATGCAGCTTTGTCTGCCTTCCAACTGCTGCAGCAGCAACTCGTCAAGGCAGCCGTATCCACATAATACGTAAAAAAAAAAAAATTAAGCTTTTTCTGTCTTTCCTCAGATTTCTAAAATACAGCTGCAGGTGCCCCTAGTATGCAAAACCCAGTTAGTTTAGAGCTGTGCAGTCTACTGCAGATTCAGGTTATGCCCACAGGCTGCCTTGGCCGGGCACAGCTACAAGCCAGCTCCTAACCCTTCACTTTTCTGCCAGCAGCTTTGTTCTAGTTCTCACTTTCAGCGAGGTCTCTTGCAATAGCAACACGTGCCTCCAGCCGACACGGAGCAGCCCAACAGCAGAGCTCCCCGGGGCATGCAGGTTGGGCAGCACCCCCAAGGTGCACGTAACATGCTCAGACCAGCAGAGCTCACCGAACATCCACACACCGCATGTTGTGCAACACCCCACAGCACACTCCACACACACTGCATGAAAAAGGTGAGGGAGTGTGATACGCCAGAGTTTCAGAAAGACAAGCAGAGATCCAGGGAGTTACTTCAGTGCCTGCAACAGCAAGCAAGTCCACAGCGCTGGAAATCCTATGTGACTGACAACAACTCTTTGCCTCCAATGGAAATTACTACTTTTAAACTTTAATTCCAGAGCCAACCTACCTAACAACTGCCTCCTTCTCATAGCTGTATTTCAGGAAACTAAATAACAGCGAGGTTTAAACAATGTTCTGCCTGTGGCATAAGTCTGCACAAAGCTGCACGCGCTGCAAAACAGGATTGCACAGCCCTGGTAGTGCAGATGACAGCTGGCCACACACTGTCCGGCAGTGCAGTGGCTTCCTTAACTGGTGCTGTACCCTTGACAAATTTCCTCGCAATTCCACCCTGAATCTTCAATATTTCCTTTACAACCTGTCGCTTCTACAGCCGGCATCAAACCTGACAGGGCCCCACAGAACTCCTGTCCTGCCCCAAACACCTTGGGCCGCCCGTGCTCCAGCCTTGGCTTCCTGTGCTGTCCCAAGAGCCTTGCCACCAACGCCCCCAGCCTACCAGCCCCTTCTGTGCTGCCCTGGCAAACTTTCTCACCCTTTAACATCTCTCTGGAACATCAGGGAAGCCCTCAAAGAGCTCAGTTTAGTCCCCATTCTTCTACCATCCACGGATGTCTTACCTGATGTAGAGCAGCTGACCTGTTAACTACCCAAACCTGACTTTAGTAACCAGAAAACGTAAAAAGCTGAATGTAAGGAAGGAGCACCAGAACCTCAGTCGCAGGGGCATCCACAACAATAAGCACTGGGTTACACTGAATATTATCCTGACTGGTACTTACAGATCTCTGCTGATAGGGAACAAGGGATACACACCGCTGGAGCACAGTCAGACACGACACCTTTCTGAACATGCGTTATGCAGTTTGTCAGATAATGCCTTTCTTCAATCCAGGTATTTGTTTCTCATATTGCTCCCCTACATGTAGTCAAGAGCGCTGAGAAAACTGCTCTGGGTAAGCAAAGAACAAACAGGTGGGCCAGTTTTATATTTACATTTCAAACACATCTACCCACTGGACAAAACCCGCGTCTGGCTGCCGAGAAGGACAGCAGCAGCTCTGCGAAGGCGCTGCGGCTTGTTTGCCAGGTCTGCTTTTAAGAGGCAGCCAACGCAAGTCCCTGCAGCCCGAAACCCCTTCACAACAGAGTGACATGCGAGCCGTAGCCACCTGAGGTGCTCCTCAGCAGCCTGCCCCACGGGAATTCAAGCCAAACAACAGCCCGCATTCGCTCGCCTGCACTATTGATCAACTCGGCTACTTCAATAAATTAAGCCCTTTCTTAATTGTATCGTCCCTTTTTATGCGCAGTGTTATCCAGCACAGCTTTGCTGGCAAACGATGAGATCTTTCAATACCACCCTCCAAGTAATTTATATGTAAATAATAAAAAGCGGGTTCCAACACTGCTCCCTGCAGCACTCACCAATTAATCTCCTTTTAGCTTTTTACTGCCACCCTTTGTTTCCTGCCCTTTAGCCAATTTCCAGTAGACTGTGCCAACTTTCCACTTAGTCTGTAGCTTCATATCTTTTATATTAATAACCTGTGATGCAGAACAGCTTCTCAAATGTTTTCTCAGAAATCAAAGTGCTCATGCAAGACCATCTAGTGCATTTATTATTTTTTTTTTTTTTTAATTCTCTGGTAGACATAACCCTGAAGGACTTCAAGCCACTAAAGTGTGACGTTTGCTTCCTGAAACCACCTTGACTCCCTTTGATCATACTGTACTTCTCTAAGTCTTTGCCTTGCTCATTCCTTTAAATGGTGTAATTCCTACAGATTTCTCCAAAAAGCAGCTATGAATCCATAAATCTACTCCTCTGACATACCTGTGGAGTTGTCAGAAAGATTGTGCTAAGGTAACAGAAGGAGAAAAATTCTTGTTCTTTACTTTCTTATCAGTGCTGTGGTGGCTGGCTTTGGGTTCGTGGCTGGCAAGGCCCAAGCACTGCCCCAAGAGCCACACCTCTCCCACTCAACGGCCGAGCTGCTGCTCGAAGAATTTCAGGCTGCAATGAGGCAGATCTTGCTGAGCTTTAAAAAGCAGAAATTTAAGCTTTCAGATGAACTGTTCCATTATGAAAAATAAATATTTAATTCCATGCCAGACAGCCTGAGCCATGGCTTGCCTGCTTTGTGCTACTCCAGTTCATTATAAAAGGCTCAATTCTCTAGAGCTCACCAACCTGCCGAAGTCTTCCAAATCTGGTCTTGTAACAGCTGAGCCACTGAATCCTGATTGCATGTGTCAGTCTTGGCTACATGACTTCTCCTCCCATAGCCTGGCACTCCATCAAAGTATCATTTCACACCACCCTCAAATTACTTCTATCTGCCTGTTTCTGGATGTCGTCTCAGGAACGCTTACCTTTCCTTCAGCTCAACTTTGGTGGATGTGGCATGCCACAGCTCTGTCATGCTGGAAGCAAAGTATTCTGAAAACTCACCACGTTGCCCCCAGCTTGGGAAAGGACACTGTAATCACAGCACAGAAACAGAAGCCAGAGGACGTGGATCGTCCCTCTGTCACCACTTACTGCGCACCTTAATTTCCTGCGCCACCCCTTTTCCAGGTCTGGAAAGCAGACGTTGTGCTTCCCTACCTCTATAACAACAATGTAAAATCCAATGCTGTACAAGGGCTGATAATGACTCCTGCCTGACACCACTGCCTCCATTGCCAAGCGCCAAGCTTCCCAGACAGCAGCATAAAGACGTCGTTCCTTAACGCCAGTCTCTGTGCAAGGTGCACTGTCCACGTACAGACAGAACACGTTTGGGAAAAACATGAGGAGATGAAGCACTGGGCACTCTCCGGGAAGAGAAAGAAGAGATGACTAGGAGAAAGCAGTGCAATGGAAAGCAAGTTGGAGCATATGTTACTTCCTAATAAAATTTAGGGCTTTTTTTCCCCAGCATCTCTAAATTGAGGTGGCTGGTGCTCTGTCTTTCCTCCTCCTGCCTTCGTGCATTTCTGCTGAATTTAGCTGTGAAGGGAATGTGGAAACAAAGCCAATTTTGCTTCCCTTTTTGTGAAGCAGTTAAGAGATCCTGAAACGTGGATAGCATATGAACTGGGTATCATATTCCAGAATTTGAACACGTACAGGCACACTCCACACAAATCAGAAAAGCCCATGAGAAGCTTTGGTTTATACACACAGACAAATACTGCAGCAGCAATTGGCAGAGATGGCACTGCTGAGATACCGTGCTGCAGCCATTACATACCCCAGAAATGCTGGGTCTCAGCATGCCAGAAAGAAAAATAAATAGGTAGAATTGCATCATTTCGCTGGCACTAAACAAATCCATCACAGTGACGAGAGCAGAGCTGCTGCCTGCCTGGCTGAGAACAGGAGCAAGTCCCAAGTGAGGGATACCATACATTCAAAGCAGGGAGAGGGAAGGTGCTGGATTGACAGCAAGGGAACATGAGGAAGGGGAATGTCTGTAGATCTCCCCCTTTTCTTCAGGACCAGGATCTCTCAGCACTTACTGAAGTTTTATTTTTAAAGTCTCATAGATGTTCTTAGCAAGGTTAATGTAGTGATTTGGTTCCTTCCTAGCAGCATTATGTCATTTGTGTATTTTCATTCTCTTGCACTGCTATAGCAAGCAATAAATTCAAGGTCAAATACTGGGTATGGTTAAAACTCCAGCGTACCAGTTGATGGCTCGCAGCATTTGGGCCGTGGAAGCAAAGCCTCCTCTTTTTGTGCTGTCATCAGATGGCTTGCCCTTGCTTAATATTTTATGAAAATATGTGTCATCTGTTCCTTGACGTAGGAACAGGAATGCAGTTACAGAGGAGAGAAAAAGCGAGCTTTGCATGTTTCTTGTTAACAAATACATTCAAATCCCCTTGGAAGGCTCGATACCCTTCAGTACAATGTCTCTGGTGGTCGAAAACTGGAATTGTTTGTGGTGAGGAAGGTCAAAATAATGGAGACGTGTAAAACTATCCCTAACGCAAATACTGCATGATCCCCTCATTATGCCATGATTTGGGAATGCACACTGCTGTTCCTGCCATTATTTGGTGCTTGCACAAAATCGCCATAAAGAATTAAGAACTGGAGGTGAAGGGGTTGACAGACGGAAGCATAAAGCACTCTTCCAATCGCTTGTGGCATTTTCCTATGTAAGAGTTGATCAGGTATCCTCTGTGCAATGCAGGTAGGTTACTACGCTACCGTGGAAGACATCCAGCGCTCCCTTATGCAGAACACAGAATTACATCAGCTTCTGTGAAGGCAGCACAGACATAGGCCTCAAGGGGAGCTGGAGCACACGAGGGTGGGGAGAGATGGGTGTCTGTCACACTGAATGGTCAGGCCACGAGACAACCATACACCAGGGAGTGAGAAGGCATCAGTGCTCTGCCAGGGATGCAGCGCAACCAGATCCAGGGCACGCAGCTGGGTATCTTATAACGCTCCTACTTGTGGATGTTACTAACACGTGGCGCGTTTGGGTAGGGCAGCATGTCACTTGGATTGGACCACAATCAGAATGGACAATTTGGGAATAACAAATAAGCACATGAAGTATATGTGTTTCTTTCCCACAAATTAGATAGTTGAATCTTGGCTATTTTACCTCTGGAGATGAGGACAGGAAAGGTTTGATGTATATATTGGAGTCATGCACCTTCAGGTCATGGTCTCCCAGTCCTCGCGTGACTCCAATTGTTGCCATAACCCGAGCCTGGAAATAAAGAAAAGCAATGGGATCAAATCCTGTTATATGCACTGTGTCAATTGGGAAAGAGGTAACATTGCTACTCCATAACTGCTACAGTTAGGGATGAAATCCCTTTTCTCTCACAGAACCTAGATTTAACACAGCTAATCAACTTCAAAGGTTTTCACACTTGTGTAATTTCCATTTCCCTACTTATTCCAAGCTTTGTATTTGTCCACATTCCAGTCTTAGACTGTGACTGTGGAAATCTAACCCAGTCGCCGCACTGTCCCATGCCAGTCTACGAGACCATTCCTTTGGCAAATTATACTGTTAGTAAACAGGTTTTATGAAAAGGACGAGGAGCCTAATGACCCACCTAAGAAACCTGCAGCCTCTTCCTACTGACACATGGCTGTATATTCCCTTCACCAAGGAAAAGTGCCAAAGGCCAGCTTGAATTGCTGAACACACAGCTGACGGTGGCACTGACCACAGTGCTCTCCCCTGCAGGGAGCGGGTCCAGGGCAGGTCTGCTGTTACCTCAGATCTACCACTTCCTTCCCCAAGCACCTTCCCCTGCAACAAGAGCAGTTTCCCAAGAGGTGCTGGGCTTTTCTTCATTAACGCTTCTCCACAGATTGACCAGGTAGATTGCCTCACGGGGAGTCTCGCTTTCTGCATATCGCTTCCCCCAAACTTTAGTTTAGCCACAGCAGCTTCTGAACAAGAGAGCTCACAGCATCAATAACAGCAAGCAACTGACTCAAAATTATTTTGCCTCGCTAACCCCTGGCTCCATAAGGCAATAAGAAAGTAAATTAAGAAGATGTGTGTGAAACATTTTGCAAATAATTATAAACCTAACCAAATTCAGAGATAAGCTGCAAGTCTGAACCTTCAAAACTTGGACTAATTTTGAAGAGCGTGTATTTTTGCCTTGAGATAAGAACCTAATGCAGCAGGGGAGCACTATTTAGAAACACAGCGAGCATACCAATATCGGCAAACTGACACCACCGCGTCCTTATATTGATCCTATTGCTGCATCCAGCTAAGCTTGCTGGATCAGCACTAATGATCTCGCTGTTCTTAATCACGGAGCTGGAAACAAAGTACACCCAAATGTAATGTCTCGTTTCTCCCTTTCAAGAAAAGCGATCAGCATTCACATCAGAAAAAGTCAACAGTGAGTTCACGTACACTAGCTGAAGAAGATACAATACGGGGTGTTATACTTTCCAAGTCCTGCTCTGATCCCTCTCCTTCCTAAATTAGAGTTTTGCATCTCAGAACACTATTAAATACCCTCCTTTGTTTGCAGCAAACATGAGGTATTTTGCTATCTTCATCCAACCTAGTTATATTTTACAATGACACCAGGAACACCGCAAGTCAATTATTTAAGACAGCCTCATTGTAGCCTACCTACAATGAATGAAAAACAAAAGCAAACTTAACAGCAAATGACCATGTTTGCTATAAAAAAGCTTTTTAGTATGTTGAGCTTCTCCCCGCCGCCCCCCAGACATGCGACTGATTTATGACAGAACCACGATATTCTTTCAAGCTGTCAAAACGATAAAATGAAGAGATACTGAGTGGAAAACACTGGACTGCCACAGGCTAAACTGAGTGGTAAACAGCCCAGAATTCCTCCTTCCCTTGGTCTAAGGGAAGCAAGTGTACCCACCTTCTTGCCTTCTCCATATATGAGGGGAAACTTCAAGTCATCTTCCTCAATGGTTTTGTATGCCCTGTGGGGGAAGGATAAAGAACATTTATAAAGCTTGCACTCAATTAGTGACCCAGTGCCCTGAAACAAGCAGCTGTGATTTAAAAAAGAAAAAAAAAAAATTTCTTCTAGGGACTGTCTTTGAACCAAGATGTAAATTCCCTTTTCTTTGGAAACATTTTTCCTAAAGGATTATTCATTTCGCCAAAAGGAAGAGTGAACACGAGGAAATATCTAACGTGCCAAGCTGCTCCTATTGCTTGCAAGAAGGGAGATGGACTGGAATAACATCCTAATCAGGTAAGGTATCGTTGGCTATGGCAGCAGCTATACTGTAATACAGTGCCATAAAAAACAAACCCCAAACCCACCCAGAAGCTGACCAGTGACTAGATTCAGTGTTAACGTGAAATGGTGAGCAGTGACAGGACGTATACACTAAGTGTGAAACAGCTCTCCAATCCTGTTCTCACCTTTCAGGACCGCTTAAACCAAGACAAGATTCACGTGCTGAAGAGTCTTAGAAAGCTATTTAGTGCTCATTTGACCTTGACTGCAACAGTCAAGGTTGTCAGAGATTTCAAATTTCACAACAGCTTTCCCATTGCCATGAGAAAGGAGAAGTAAACACTCATGCTCTGATTCCGTTTACCACATGCCTGTGTACTCTACCTTTTACACATCCAGCTGTTGACGCTGATGAGGTGAGAAGGTGAGCAATTTTGCCAGTGAGAAATAAAAAAAGAATAAAAATAGACGGCTGTCATTCTCAGCAGCTGTAGAGTCCTGTGGTTTGTATAACACATGCTCAGGCCGAGGTGCTGGGGAGCCTCCTTGGTTAAACCATGTCGCCCCAGAGGGACACTCTTCCCTTCACGCCACAAAACTGTCCCTCCCCAGCCTCTCCCTGCATGTTGCCCTTCCCTCCCAGTCTACCCCTGCCCAAAGCCCTTGGGGTGATACCAAAACCATCCCTCGAGCACGGAAGTCTGCGCTCCCTGCCAAAGCGGAAGGGAGAAGCAAGAGGAGGGAAGGTGCCGTAGCAGGTCCCCTGCCAGCCACCGCCGGCCCCGGCTGTGTCGCCCCCAGCCAGGTTGGCTACTTGAGGTCCGGGGAGTCGCATTCAATCAGGTTTAAGCAATGTTAAGGCTGTGACACAAACCAGAAAGAAATCAAAAATTAAGAGTGAAATCCTATATTGTAGCAAAATGCCCCCTTCTCCAAAATATGGCATAGACTCGGGATCAGTAAATGGCGCTGTGTTACACAGCTATACACCCTGTATCACCTAGGCAAGCCCCAGTTAAAGAGAACAGCATAGATATTTAAGCCCCACCTTTACATCTCCCAGGAATCACAGGTAGAGCCTCTACTAGAGTTTGGGGAGGAGGGGAGGGAGAATTAAAAAAGGAAAGGCAACCAAAATGCACAGATGAGAAAGTAGTGGGGGATTCTGCTCCCGTACTACAAAACATTACTAGGTGTGAATTCCCATAATGGGAAACAGGTGAGGTTTGCAAAACACAGTAGGTCGTTCATGGGAAACTACGCAGTCAAGGTTATCTGGGGTATATAACCATGATACTTGGGCATCTCTATGAGAGACAATACACTCTAGGCATTTAAACACCATGTTGTACTGGGGAGGGCAAATGGATTAGCTCTTAAACCAAACAAAAAGGCACAAATCACTACAGGTAGCCAGCATGATCATACTTCCTTGATGTTTAAATCCTGGAATAGCTTTTTGTTGGGAAGGATGTGTAAGTCATGGAGTTTGCTTTTGTTCCTTCCTTTATTTCCAACAGGGAATAGCTAACATCTCTGCCTCACCAACTAGAATATCCTGGTTTGAATGTAGAGGAAGAATTTTACCATCCCTGACTGCTATGAGTATGTCCCAAAGCTTCCAGCTGGACCCATAGTGCTGGGAGCCCTGCCGCAACCTCCCCGAGTCTGAACTGTTTTCTATTCCTTGCATAGAGCCAGTTGTGCTCTGACACCAAGAAAAAGGGTGTCAACTGAGCCCATAGTGGGCATCGGAGTCAAATGACAAATCAAACCACAAACCCAACAAGACAACCATTCCTACTGGATTTTCAAGCTGTTGTATGAATTTGTTACAATTAGCAAACAAGACTAAGTTGATATGACAACTATTTGCAACGCCCTTTTTAAAGGAAAACCCCAACCCATTCTTTACCCACAAAATGTATTATCTGCCAGATAACTACAAATACTTATGACTGAAGTCCTCACTTTAAGGTCCTCTAAGTAGCCAAAACCAGGCTACTTGAGGCTCACGTCCCTCAAAATAATGTTTCCCACTGCCAAGTCCAGCATCTTTTATGGAAACACTGTAAGGACCACTGTCCCTAGGGCCTCCAACTGTGACACAAGGGTGTAAGGAAGAGGCTGTGTTGCAAGGGCTGAAGCCAACTTTCATCAGCAGATTAGGAAGGGCAACGGGCCAGCCTGTGACCTCCTGAAGCTATGCGACTAAGGGAGGGAGACCCAGAGGACTACAGTGATTTGTTCTGTGGTTTCTCACAGCAAATCGACTCTTGGGCTCTGAACTTGGGTGTCGACTCATCTCAAACACACTTTTTCTGTTGATGTTGCTATTGCCTGAAAAATTATCTGCACTTGAAAAACAATGCTCAGAACTGCAACCGTAGCCGTGGAGCTGGCACAGACATGCTGAGAAGCAACCTGAGACACTCTAGAAAAGTACCTATGTCCTGCAGTACTAGCAAAACAGGATTAATAATATATGAGCATGTGGTTTGCTGCAAGGGAAGGATGAAGGACAGCTCTTCAGTGAGCAGCTCAGCAACTGCGCTGGGGAGAAGGAAGGAAGGAAGTTATGAAGTTCATTTTGATTTATGCCCTGTGAAACCGCCTGTACTTTGTACGTGTGTTTATTTCACACAGGCTACAACCTTCTGGACCATGTTACTTGCTTTTATGTGATAAAGTTGCATTCATACCTTTGTGTTCTGTTTAGAGTGTGCTATAGAAAGATATGGCAGTAGGTATATCAAACACAGCCTACGGAAAACCAGAGGGTGTTTTTTTTGAGTGCCAACAAGGCCTTATTCAGCCATCTACATAATTCAGCCTAGCTCACTGATTTAACGAACACAGGGCTGCAACACTCCGCTCTCCCCATAGTCCTCATCTGCATCCCAGGAGGACTCAGTGGCCAACAGGGCATGGTAAGACAGGTTATAAAAACAAGGCTATGCTATTGTTTGCTGCTCTGAATAAGCCTAAATCCTGTCAAGTGCTTCTGCCACGTAAACCTCTACTTTTCTAAATGGAAAAACGAGGTAGGAGGGGGAAGTCGAAACAGTAAGGTTGTGCCCAGCTAGATCTAGCTGCATTTTTTTTTTTCAGTTACTTTTATTTCTTCTTTTCATTTCTAGAGAATTATGAAATGCTACTGCTGTCCAAAAATACTGATCTAGGGCTTGACATATGTACCACCCACAAAGTTACATTTGGACTCGGGATCAACATTTTGGAAAACCGGGCCAAATCGCACCAGGAGCCAAGAGAGATGTCAGAATGAAAGAACTAGGACTGACATGATGCTACTCATATGCTAACTGGATTCTGCTCTAAATACATGGTGAAAAAAATCACCAGAAGCTGTTAAATGCACAAGACAATCTACGGAAAAAGTTTCCTACAGTGCTGAGGTCATTAGCAGTGCTTTAGGCAGTCTTTAAATAAAAGATTACCAAAGTTACCTGCATATTGCTGGGTCAGAACATGAAAAACTGGTCAGCTCCCAAATACAGATTTCAGAGCCAAAATCCTAAATATTTTCTCACATGTGTTACTCATTTTCCTGCCATACAGTTTGTTCTTAAAATTGGCCTTCTGAAAGTACATACAATTCCATGTAAGAGTAGAAGTTGTTGATGACCAAAAAAAAAAAAAAAAAAAAAAGAAAATCCACATTATATTTCTTTTACAGCAAACTGCATAAGGTTACTGGTCATGAAAAGTATCGCATTGGCATCCCTGGGCACAACAGATGGTGGTGAAAACACCATCTACCCTGACCTGGAAGGCTCAGTTCTGTGAACAACAGGGGAATCCAGACTCTGCGCTCTGTTTTTCCATAGCACTTGGCTTTAGAAAGTTTGTCTGTATTTCACATCTCTGCTAGTGACAACTGATAGTAAACTGAGAATTGAACCTGAGGAAGAGCAAAAAGAATTGTCAAAGAGCTTTAGCTTGAAACATTGAGCAAAACCCGCTGTGGCAAGGAAGCAAGAAAAAGCACTAAGGCTTCAGAAATGTCCTAGTTTATGCTGATCATGAGGATGAAGACTTCCTTTGAGACAGGTTTGTGGATGCAGTGTACTTCTAGCACAGCTTTGATTCCACTCTGTAAAAAACCCTAACCCAGAACCACCTCCAAACACTCCCAGCCTCCCCAAAAAAAAACAAACCCCACAACAAAACCCCCAACTAACCAATCAACCTCCCATCCCCCAAAGCTCAACTTCCCTTAGTCATACCAATAGAAACCCATATTTTAACCCTTGGGCAACACAAAACTTGATAGAAACTGCTGTTTGGTTCTTTTATTTCTTTTACCCTCCCACACAAGGAATCAGTGGATTGGAGCTAACCCTTTGGGTAACAGAGCTTACATCACCAACCCAAAAGGAACTGTTTATCTGTACTGCATGTTGAACTGCAGGCATCAAACCAGTACAACTGTGTGCTTACTACCAACAAAAGATGTCTAGCACAGGCAGAGAGCCACTGAAAAATTATGTCATTTGTGTCTCAATCCAGCAATAATTTAAAAAAAAAAATGTCCTTACACATATGTGCTTCTGCAGAGTCAGGATCTCTAAATCCAGACAGCACTGTCTGATACTAAGTATTCTCTAGGTAAGCTAGCTTTAATGTTGCAGTGCCTCAGTATCTTTCCCCTATTACTCATCTGACATTAAACTATATGAGACAAAACTACAATAAATAAAGACAATAAAAGCA